TACATTTCTTCCAGGGATTTATCCGGAATCTGTCATGGATTAGTGAATTCCTGCAATGGTTATATAGTGACGTTTTTATGGAGGTCACCAACTTTTTGTGTTTTCCGTGGATTAATAGGACCTAGTTAGAGAACGCTGAGGTGTTCTAGAGTGATAAATGGTTGTTTCATGCCAAGCAAGGTTTTGTCCACCCGGGATTCATATTTTGTAAATAGATCTTTATTCTTTGTCAAATAAGGTATCAACCTACAATTTCTTAACCCAGCAGGGTAAGGGCCCCATACATCATATGACCTCATTAACCAACTTTATAGACTTCTAAAAAATTTAAACAAATACATTGTGACAAATTGTTGTCTTTTTTCACTGCATGGTGTGTTCTGTTCTGTTTTATAAGCCCTGTAGTTCAGATTATGTCTTCCTTTGAAGTGCATCGTCGTAATGGCAAAAATTTCATTGTCAGTGTACCCAGGATACATTTTATATTTGTAAAGTGCATTATGGGCTGTAGCTGCTCATTAATCACCATTGCCAGTGGGGAGTGCCATGTCGTGGTGTATGTTTGGAATCAAAATAATGTGCCTTTACTTTAGGCACCCACAAGATAGAAATCTGACAAGAGTTTTACTTTTTAAAAGGCAGACTCCACCAAAACTTTTCATTGATTACTCTGTGAAGTTTAGATTTTTCAAGATTTTTGAGCACATGTAGATTTCTGGATAGAAATTCATGGTCAAAATGATCGTTATCATCAGCTTAAAATAATTCAATCTCTTTACTGAAAGCCAGGGCCTGGGTTCATTTTCTGGGTAAATCTGATAAAAAATGGTTTGATGCCCATGAAATCTGCATTAATTAGCCATTGATCTGTTCATAAAGGCTGCAAAATGATAATCTCCCTGTAGCATTTTATCATTGATTTCTGCCATTGCCTGTAATTTCCTTTACCTGATTCAGAAGTCAGAGCCTGTTCCTGCTTCTGCTGGTACTGTGACATTGATCAACCATTCACAAATTGACACTTTATAAATAACTAATGTAAAAGAGTAAAAAATCAGTCATGCAGCTGCAATAAAACTCTTAAATTTCCTTTGTTTGTAGTCTGATGATAGTTGATACAGTCATTTTTTTTTTCTTATTTTCATGCACAATTACCCTATTTGTCCTTAGCTTGCTTGTTTCTTCAGTCTCAATTTTTATGATTATATCTAAATTTTAATGCTGAGTATTGGATATTTGAATTTGATTAGAATTTTAGTGATAAAATCTGAACTTAAAATTGCCATAGCAATCACCTTTGTCCAGCAGTGGTCAACTGACTATCAGCTCTAAACACTGTTGATCAATGTTCATAGGAAATTCTAGAAAACAAATTAAAACATGTGAAAATGTGAATGTTAAGGTACTGGGACTCATGCACCAACATTAATTTCGAGCTCACTGCAGTTTCTGGTGAATATTAAGCTTTGTTAGGCCTTGTCGATTGATCATCGGATAAGAAGTGTTACTTCGTTTGAAAACTGCCAGACTTTACAGTTTTCTTCTCACATCTGACACAAACAAAAAACCTATTCAGGAATATAAATTTGGCATCCATTTACTGCGTTATATGTCATTACAGTTTAATAGACACCCATTAAGTCAAATGGGGATATTTTTTCATGGTTTAGGCACGTAATGTGTATTATTTATCGTACACAAGTATGTCGTTTTTCATAATAAATAGCTAGTATTGTTTCAATGGTGGTATTACTTTACAAGTACCTACAAGGGACCTTTGACTTGTAATAGATAAATTGTAGGTGTATTATCAGGTATTTTATTTTCAATATTTTGCACGAAGGCTTTTTTGTTCAGGAGCTTAATTTCTCGTTACTTTGCAGTAAAGAAAAATTCCATAGATATTGTACATGCATCATGTCTTTTAGATGTTTTGATTTGCTTGTATGTAGCATTATCACATAGAGTTATTTCTGAGGGTTAATGTATCTCGATGGCACCAGATTCTGTAAAAGCAGTGCAGCATAACTTGTATAACTATTTAATGGATACCTGCCAGGGAAGAGAAGGTAGCTTTTTTTGTGTGACATCCACATTTGTTTTTTGTTTTGAAAGCTGTTACGATTAAGAGGTGTCAATACCCTGTGAAGTGAATAAAGAGTTTAAAGTGGTGACCTTAAGACAGAGTGAATAAGAAGTCCCCATACTCTCTTGACCCATTGTCTTTAGAGGAAATACTTAAAAATAGACTGAAGTTTGTAGTTTTTTGTCAGCTTTTTATTGTAGAATTTGCTTCAACTTCCTTCAGAAGAAAGTTGAAGCATCTTTCAAACAGGGAAATGGCAAAAGGGAATCTTGAACTTATTAGATTAGAGCATTTCCTTATATATCACCTCCATGATCAGATGTAGGAGAAAATAATGTAAAACACCTCATTTAGTCTACAGACGGTCTATTTTGTAGGATCTCTTTGGAATGTATTGATCTTCAGTGTATATAGCTGCAGCTTTTAGTGTCTTTCTTCAATTACTGCACAGATGTTCTGCATCAGAACAAATCCCTAGCCTAACAGCTTGCTACATCTGAAATGTAAAATACAGTCAGATACACATTAACTCATACACCATGACAAGTATTTGTTAAAATTATAGGCAAAAGGAGATTTCTCATCTTGATACTTTTAAAAAGCAACAAAGAGATTTAATAAAGATTTTATCAAGTGTCATATTTATGTACATCTATATTATATTGGGAGTGTTATAGAAGCCGGGGGGTTAGAGTCATGTCAAATGAAAAAGAAGGTTAAAAAAATTACAAGCTGCCATAATGCCTCATTTCCAGTTTATAGTTTTCGAAACTTCATTATGGATGGGTGCACAACATTTCATATATTGTGAAAACTTAATGTAGCAAGAAAGTAAAATAAGTAAGTGTTTTAGGGATGGTTACATAAAGAGAGAGAGAGATGTATTCTGCTTTTTTCTGCTGAAGTATGGATTCTTAGATCCTCTTTCAACCAAGTTTTTATCTAGATTCTGAATCCAGTTACAAGTATATCTTTGTCATTGGGCATATATAGTCTGTAAATAGAATCCATACTACATGGGAAAGAGAAATAAGTTATACTTTTGCTGCCTGCTTTAGGAGCATAATGGGTTAACCACATCTTGTATGTGCACTTAACAATATACATATACTGACTCCTGTATGAATAAATAGGTGTCGTTTTACTTTTGAATTTTATGTAAGAGATAAGAATCTGTAACTGTATATTCTAAAAGGCCTGTAAACAACAATAAGTCATGGACTGATTCATAAACAGAGTAAAATTTCAGAAATTGAACTCTGAGCCACCAGATTTCGGTTGGTGTGGAGTTCAGGATTCAGTATTGTAGGTTTTACTTGAAGAAGAATCTGTGAATCTTTTCTCTCGGGTTTCATCCTTGGAGATGTGCCATGTTTACATTATGGTCCATATTAACAGAAGACCGTGACAGAACTTGAATGAATAATTCATTATCTTCTTGTGCCCCCAGACTCTGTAAATCCCAGATCTGTCTCCAAACATTTCATCAATAAACCTGATATTTCTACTGCATCAGCATGCAACCCACTTTATAGTTTATAGAATTGTGTCATGGATCTTTTGCAAAAAAAAAAAAAAAAAAAAAAAAAATAGATAATTGGTAATGGAATCAATTATGATAACTAGAACAGTGTGTTTATATATATTTTAAAAGAGCAAAGTCATTTCATGGATTTTTAAATGACTAGTTAAATAAAGAAATATGAGGACTTGTAAGTTAATATTTTTTATTGCCCTGAATTACATGTAGGTAAACACACATGTACTTTAAATACTGAATTATTGACTTAGTTCAGTGATTATCCAGATTTGCAGAGGACACAGGTTGCATGTTAGGTTTTGTTTTGGGTCAAGTGTATCGGGTAAATTCATGTGTCAGATGTGTCAAAATGATGTACATACATACTGTCTCTTACATTGTCAGGTTTAGTGGAGGATATTTTCATTCATAAGTGACAATGACTGTTCACTGTATTTACATGGTACAAAGCCCTTCAAGCATCTGTTGTCACCCAGTCTAGTGTACAGTAAAACACATCTATACAGGACACCACTGGATCTAAAGAAATCAGTTGAATAAGACAATATTCTAGAGTAAATAGCATTTTGAACCTTTGAAATAACTTAAAAGGAACTTAATGTTGTATTAGACAGGATCTTGGAATCCACAGCATCCCAGTTAGACAAGTTTCACTGTATATATCTATATATCAGTAGTAGATCATGCATCTATTTCTAATATCTGTACAGTGTGTATCTGCTAATCAGATGGTTGCTAATTATATAGGTTATTGTGTATTTACTCTAATCTGGTAGCTATTTCACAGTAAGGCTTTGGAACATTCAAGGAATGTACAGGATGTATTTTATCTGATAAAATCAACCTGACAGATGATTCACATCCCCCTACTGAAGGTTTTTTTATGGTTCGATTTTTTTCCCCCAGCTCAGGATAGAAAAAAAAATGCTTTCTTTTTCAAATGAAATGAAAGCAAAAAATGCCAATTTAATATGATTTATTCAGAGATATATCTCTATCTACCCAGTGTTTAAGTTTCTATGTTAGAAATTCAGAACTACTCATATATATATATTAACCTTTGTTGTACTGTATAAATTTCAAAAGTCACAAATTGAAATGTATTTTTTGAGATTCAGAGTCTAACCCAGTCTCAATTATGACATCTCAATACCTGAACTATAAGCACTTGATACTTTTTCTACAGGTCAGTCTAACTGTCTGTGACAATGGGGACAGTTAGGGATTTGCACGATTTCCTGGAGGAGGCAGAGCTTCTTCACTACTACAGCGCCCTCTGTAATCAGCTGAGGATCAACACCGTACCTCAACTCAAGTATGTGGAGGAGGAGGACCTCGCAGGAATCGGCATGTCAAAGCCCGAAATGAGGCGCCTCAAGAAAATGTATAAAAAAGAATGTCCACACGGAGCTCTCGGGAAAATCAAAAAGGTAAAAACTGGGAGAAGGGTAGCAGCCTCTCAGATGCACAGTGTTGTGTGAAACAGGTTTATTTTCCCTGTAATTTCAACATTCAAGACCATATTTTAAGAAACAAAATCATTATATAGGAAAAAAGGATATAACAATGTCGTGATGTCAGTTACCATGTCTTTTCACCACAATGAACAAGCATGTACGTCGTAAACAAAATATGATGAGACACAGCCCTCCAAATTTTGAACTAGATTTTAATGTTCTTTTGAATGTAATTTATTTTATTGCACTTCAACTGAAGATGTATAAGTTTTAAAATTGGATGAGTCATTTACACCAACATAAAGATAAAAACTTTCAGAAGAATTTAGCTGTTTTATCTCTTAACATTACACCAGGGCTGTTTTGGGTGTACAGCTTAAGTTTTCTAGTTACAAATGTATTCTGACCAGAAAACCTTTGGAATTTGTAGAGTACCGGTAGTTTTGTTAAATGCACACACTCACACTTCTTTTCTACAGCCCAGAAACCAGTAGCCTGTTTCTTGAATCAACAGGAAAAAGTTCACATGTCTAGAATGCTTCTTGTTTGCCATGATAAGTGGTTTTTTAAACCATTAAATTTGAGTATACAGAATATATTTTAAAGAGATAAACCCCTGCAAAGTTATCTTATGTTTTTGATGTATGTTAAAAATAACTTGTCTGTAAATAAATCTAGTGATAAAGTGTGCTACAGATATCATTAGATGAATTAAAAAATTATGACAGATGGGCACTCTTATTAAGTTTGGTTAACTGGAGGATTTGACACAATAATTTACTTGTGATGTAGTTTAATGGCTTTTTAAAGTGCATATCCTTATTAAGTAAATTATGTTGAGACCAATAGAAAAGCCTTGTCTGGACCTTAGCCAAAACTAATTACTAATGCCTTAACTTATCATAACAAAAGGCTTGTACAAATTAATTTATAAATAAACTTGTCAAAATTTGGAATCCCGCAGCCATAAAAAAACACAAACCACATTGAGCATAAAAAAAACATAAATTTTTGAGAACTAGCACACATGGAACTAAAAGGGAAATGTGTGAAGCATAAGTTTTATATAAAAAGCAGAGATTTGTGATTTTGTGAATTCCAGCGCTATTTTAGAGGATGAATTGTTTTACCAGGCTAAAGACGCAGTAAGACGCGCCTCCATACGACTTACTGGAGGGAGTACTCTAGATTTATCAAAGGATCCAGAGGTATCCCAAATGTAACATCTAATCACCCCCTACTCTACTTAAGGGCATGAAATCAATTGAATGTCTGTTAACTTTGCTCCTTCCCCTTGTTTCAGGACACACTAGCTCTTGTGAACACTTTAAATACAAAAGTCACTGCTAAAGTGGTAAGAACTGTGTTTAATGAGAGGAAATCCTTATTGCTGAGCCTTTAAGGAAATGCATTAATTTTACTCCATACTGTTTCATTCATATCAAAGTATGAAAAAAAATTTCCTCTGTGGTTAAATATTGTTAATATGATAAGGAAGACACTTTCATAATACATTCTTTTATTCGGTAATATTAATTTAAAATGTAAGTGATAAAGTAAATAATGATGTAATTTTCAGAGCAGTAATAAGGTTTTCCAGAAGTTTAGTTTTTTACCTCAGTATTATATATCAGTAGGACCCAAGATTTTATATTTTTGTTTTGGCTGCACATCAAATAACTGTACATACAGGAAAATTTGATGGAGCAGTCTTATTTTTTACAGTTATATACCGGATGAATAGTGTGTTTGCAAAATAGTTCTTTTGTTTTAATAGGTTATTCACCTTGAAAGCAGTTGTCGTTAACTAGATTAGGAAAATAGTTTCTTCTAATATAGACGGACTAAACAATTGAGTACTCTATGTGCATGATTTAGACCATTTAGGCTGCAAGAGTTCCTTCCCTTTGATACTGTCTTTAACAGGAAGTAAACTCTTCAGATACTTGAATACAATCAGCTTCTGCAGGTCTTGTTTCCTCTAATGAATGTGTATATACATGTACATGATTGTACTCATTTTCAGCTACAAATCATTTCATTTACTCTTGTTATACATATACATGTACTTGTTATGATATATATCTCAAAACTAATAATATTGCATGGTATCAATAATTGAAAGTTTTTTGTATCATTTTATTCTTATTCATATCATATGCAAACTGTACAAGAAATAAATCTTATATATCATTAATTAAAATTCTATTTTTAAAAATCATATCACCATTAAATAGTTTGACAGCTAGTAATGATTGGATTAAATTTAATTGGATGTTTGCTGTTATTAAAATAAAATAGAAAAGAGAAATTCATTTTTATCACCACCATGTGCATTCTTGTGGCTTTTTGATTTGAGAAAAGTGTCGTCTCTGATTTCACATAAACTGAAGTGATATGAGGTCATCACTTAACATTCATAAAGCTCATACCCTTGTTGATACATTACTGAGCATGTAGAACATTGTATTGAAAATGGAGGTAAAGGTGGATGGTGTACAGCTATTAATTGACAAAAGTTTACTGAAGGATCTTTTTTTTGTGTGTGTGTTGATCATGTGAATCTGTTATTTCAGGCCATTCTAACTCGGTCTGATGGACCAAATCGCACCCTCAGTCCCTCCCCCCCAGAACAGAGGTCACGACCCACATCATACATCGTATCACCAGGGAGACAGATCATCCCAGCGGAGGCAATCCACATCAATAAAACTCTTGGAGAGGGGGAGTTTGGGGTTGTACAGCAAGGAGTCTGGACAACAGAGAGAGGCGAGAAGGTAGGAAATCACGCAAATCACTTATTGACTGTAAGCGTGCTCTCTTCATCAATTTATATAAAGTTGAAATGAGGAGCTCGTCATCCATGGACTGTTTTCTGTAATTATCATTTTACTTAAGGTTGAAATGAAAAGGTAATCATCTTTGGATAAATCTGCTTTCAGGTCCAGGTGGCATTAAAATGTCTAAGTAAGGATCGTATGGAGAATGGGACCCAGGAATTCCTGAAAGAGGCAGCCATTATGCAGACCATTGATCATGAGAACATTTGTGCAATGTTTGGGGTGGTCATTGATAAAGATGACACTCTCATTTTGGTAAGTTCTAAACAATAAAGAATTATCAATTGTACCAAAAGAAAGGTTACTGATTGACATTGAAAGTAATATTGTAAAGCCTTGTTATCAGCATTGTTACAGACTCTTTGATCTTGGGTTCCATAATAATTTGTTGAACTTTATCAAGAAATTAAATGTGTTTTTTTTAATCATGTTAACAATATCTACCATAAATGTTTTTGTAGGATATACTGTATCAAATTTTTCTTTATTTATCAGGTGACTGAATTAGCTCCTATGAGATCACTCCTTGAGTGTTTAAAAGAACCAACTCTTAGATTAGACTTTCCCTTATCCAGATTGTGTGATTTTGCTCAACAAATTTGTGATGGAATGAGTTATTTGGAAAGTAAACGCCTTATTCATAGGGATTTAGCAGCTAGGAATATTCTGGTGTTCAGTAAACACAAAGTAAGTATTGCCATAAGTAGATGATTTAGTGAGGCCTAGCTGGTTCCGTGTTGTGGTTTTTGTTGTTAACACAAGGAGGATATTCTCTGTGAGAAAATAATGTGATTTTTTGGAATTTTCCAGGTGAAAATAAGTGACTTTGGATTATCTCGAGCCTTAGGTAGAGGGAAAGACTACTACCAAAGCAAATACAGTATTAATCTCAAACTGCCCATTGCATGGTAAGTGTCATATCCATATTTTCAAAATGAGGATGATTACTATAAATCAGATTGATAAGACATGGAAGCGATGTATTTGCCAGGAAATGGCCCATCCCTTTACCTAGAGTTCTAGTTACCCATTGTGTCATTGCTTAGGTGTGCCCCTGAGTGTATAAATTACCTGAAGTTCACATCAGCCAGTGATGTTTGGGCTTATGGAGTCACACTATGGGAAATGTTCACATATGGATTTCAACCATGGGCAGGACTAAATGGGCAAGAGGTTTGCACATGTATTTTCCATTCTAGAAGTACGGTAATGGTAAAATATTTTTTAAAATATTTGAAAAGGTAATTGATCTTAACAGTTATCCAATTCATGCCAGGTAGTAATCCATTTCATATTTGTATGTATTTTTGAAACAAAAATGAAAATTGTTTAGGCTTTATATAATTGGGATAACCTTGATAGGTTGAAAACATCCATGGATATGTTAAAAGATGTAATGTTGATAAATTGTCAAACTAGATAGGTACAGACATACTCAGTAGTTTGTTATACTATTATATCTGTGAATGAGTGGAATTTTTCTGATTTAGATCCTTGAGGCAATAGACACACCTAACTCCCAGCGGCTAGAGTGCCCTGACCTTTGCCCTAAGGACTTCTATGATCTCATGCTGAAGTGTTGGTATCACGACCCTCAGAAGCGACCTACTTTTGGTGAAATCAGCATCCTGCTTCCTCAGGTAAGAGTACAAGTCACCAGGTAAATGCAGGTGACAATCTACCGGGTCATCACTGCACAGGGCAGACTTTAAAGACACATTCAAGGCTCTTAAATTTCAATTTAAATGTGTGAAATTGATACCGGGATTTGATAACAATGTTGGTAGCAGGTAGATTGTTTTAAGAAGATCATCTCAAAGGGTTGTCAAATTGTTTTCAACCCTCTGGAAAAATAAAAATCTGGGCTTGTCAGTGAAATGTTGAAATCTGATAAAGACAGTGATTCATGTTGAAATTATTTACAAGCTGCACATCTGTACACGTATATTTACCACTCGGAATATATCAGCATGTATAAATCTGTCTTCTGTAGAATGCATGTGAAGGGGTAAGTGTGCCGTGTGTGTTGTAACTTGTGTATGTGCTGTGTGTAACACTGTGAGGTTCTGTTCAGGGTACATGTACTGACGGAAGATTCTGTTGAAGCAGGAAAACTAAGGAGCATTTTCTTCCTCAGAATCAACGGGCAGCTTGTTACTTCATTTATGAGGATTTTATGTTCAGAATTTTTTTGCTTGTATATTTTGATTTGGAGACAGATTTATCTGTATGCTGAGGGGAGGAAGGGAGATGCATTGAAATGCTGCTAACCTTTTTTTTTCTCTCTGGGAATCATTATCAAGAGAGCTCTCGAAGTTTCAGTTTTCAAACACTTAGTCAAGATAAGAGGACATTAATGCTTGATATGTTTGTAATATGGTGTGTTAACTAGATATTTTTCTGTTTTTCAGATGAGACCCATCACAATGAAGGCTTCCAGGGAGTTCCCTGAAGTCACAGTGCCAAAAGATTATCTCTACTATAAAGCTAATGATGTGGTCTATGTCATTGACAAAAAGTAAGGAGCTGGCATTCTCAATCTCCTTATCTTTTATCATTTGTCCTCAGTTGCTTTTTAATTTATTTTCATGAAAATGAGCCAAGTTCTTGCATACATCATGTGCAAAGTGTTTTTGAAATTTTTGACATTGATAAGATATAATCAAAATACAAAATTAAAATTAAGAAATCTGCTAGGCAGTTTTATAGTTTTCTTTATTTGGATTTTGTTTCGGCTGAAGTTTATTTTTTGATGATTTCTTTCTATATGGACATGTATGTTATATTTACTTTTCAGCACATCAAACAGTCCTGCACCTGGGTTATGGAAAGGTGTTTTAAGCAATGGAAAATCAGGTTATTTTGATCCAGTCAATTTTGTCCCCTTCATAGAAACCCGAGCTAGTCCAGCCAGCCCCTCCACTAGAACACAACTAACACGCAAAGGTATAGGGGACCCCCGGAGTGTTTGGGTAGAATTCTTGTCAATCCTTGATATAGTATTACATGTAATAGACAAGGATTAAATGGAACGGTACATATATATAAGACCTGAATCATCTTAAAATTAGATGTATAAGACACATAGATTGTTCTACAGTGTAGTTTTAACTTGTATGACAGTTTAAAGTAATATGCTCTTTACTAATACAAAAATTAAAAGAAAATGGTGTTTTGTAGATTGACTAGTGTGGTTTTGGTATGAATGAAGATTTAGATGTTAAAAAATAATCATCTGTTTACAGTGTTAAAAGTGTAGGCCTACTTTCAGAAACACGAAGTAGTTTCACATTATGGTTATAAGGTCAACTCTACTCTAGGTATAAATGGATCTTGTATTTATTAGATGTTTGAAAATACACACAATTTTATTAATTTTCAGAGTCCAAGAGAAACTCCAAAGCCAAATTATTGAGTGCCGCCATGATTAGTGGGCCTCAGAATGACCTTCGACACACGGGTCACATAGGTTATGATGGAGCTGTATTTGGAGATGTCTCATTTATAGGAGATAACTATGACAAACTGCCGCTCAAAGTCTCAAGCACAGGTAAAGTTTTATTGATATAGATAGTTCATTAATTAGTGCAAAAGAAAACCATTATACAACCACTGACGTCAGGGTATGTCATAGATATAGAAAGTCTATGATATTTAAAGTCCCTGTTTTCTTACTAGGAGGAATTTTAGATTTATCAAGTATCAGGCTTCGTTTACTTGCCGAACTTTGAACTTTGTAATCAGTAAATGTTAATTTTTGATCTCCTGAGATTTGGACGATACGGTTTAAAAGTATCCCAAATTAATGTTTTTTTAGGTCACCTGAGTAAACTCAGGTGACCTATTGCTATCCGTTTTCATCCGTCGATTTGCGTCGTCCGTCGTGTGTTAACATTTGAACATTTTCAGATTCTTCTCTGAAACCACTGAACCAATTTCAACCAAATTTGGTATACAGCATCTATGGGTGAAGGGGAACAAAAATTTTGAATTTTATGGTCCCCGCCCCCCTGGGGCCTTAGGGGTGGGGCCAAAACCACTCAAGTTAATGCAATCTTTAAAAATCTTCTTCTTTACTCCTGGACATCAAGCAGTCAAACTGTTTGCATGATTGTAATCAGCATTGAGTCCTCTACCAAAATTGTGAAATTCATGGCCCTGGGGTCAGGGGTTCTAGTGCTAGGGCGGGGCTAAAAAAGTATATTATTTCTTTTAAAATCTTCTTCTTCTTTGCTCCTGGGCATTAAATAAACTAACTTAGTGCAAAGTTATGATGAGCAAGAGTGCCTTTAACAAAATTGTGAATTTTATGGCCCCAGGGTCAGGGGCTCTGGAGTTAGGGCGGGGCTCTATTGTTTTGTAGTGAAAACACATGAATTCTTTGAAAATCTTCTTCTCTGCTCCTAGGTATTAAATAAACTAACTAAGTGCAAAGTTATGATAAGCAAGAGTGCCTTTACCAAAATTGTGAATTTCAAGGCCCCGCGGTCAGGGTTTCTGGTGTTAAGGCGGGGCTCTATTGATTATATAGTGAAAATATATATTAAATCTTTGAAAATTTTCTTCTCTGCTCCTGGGTATTAAGCAGATGAACTACCTATATAGTTACGATGAGCAAGGGCCTTAAGAATTGTGAATTTCAAGGCCCCAGGGTCAAGGGAACCATGGGGGGGCTGTACTTATATACTAAAAAAGAATGGTTTGAAATCTGCTCCTTGGTATTAATCAAATATTTTTGAAAAGCAAGGATGCATTTTCAAAATTATGATGATCAATGGTGCCTCTTTCAAAATTGTGAATGCCATAGCATCTGGCTTAAAACATGAATCAAATTCAATCACTGGAATGTTGTTGCATAATGCTCAGGTGACCTATAAGGCCCATGGGCCTCTTGTTTTCCTGAATTCTTTATTTCTTTATTTTAATTTTTGTTTTCATTTTTGCAGGGAAACTAAATGAAATTCATAGAATCAGCCCTGATAAGGATGGCACGATGAACGGACATCTAGGATCAGGCCACTCTTGGTAAGCTGTTATACAATGTGATTTTTATGATAGAAATACTGGTACAAAGAAAACATTCATTTATATTCTCGTTAAAATACAAACTTCTTACCTAAGAACATTTCTTTGAATACAGCATAGAGAAAGAGAAAACGTAAGGTTTTTGACTTTTTATAACCAGCTAATCCTGATGTGTATTAGGATGGCCATGCTTTTGCTATTTAAGGGGGATGTACGGCCACCTTTAGTGAAGTGAGAACAAAATATAAACATTTCTTCAAATGGCTAAAATACGTTATATTTTGATCAAATTTTAAGTCCTTATGTTAAAGATACAATATATATAACTGAATGCATGTTGTGTATATATAATCTATACTTTTGCAGAAAAATGCTTTTGATATGCTCTTTAGAACTGCGCAGCTACAGAATGCAGCAGAGCCTTAAAAAATCCAAAAAAATATGCAAACTGTGCATTAATGTTCTCTCTACAACCATTTGTTGAGAAAATGTCTAAATTTTGCACTTTTAAATGATAATTTCAAGTTCAAAACAAGGCACCGTTGTCTTCAAAAAGAGTGCAAAGAACCATGAAAGTAGTTCATGGATATACGTGGTCTATTTTTAGCACAGAATTTTGAGCAAGGGCTATCTTTAAATGTAGAAGAGAATTACAGTTGCAAAATATTTCAAATAATATGAACACTTTTAAAAGAGGAAAGATGTTATAGTGTTGCTTGAAGTAATTTATTTAGTATTATTATCGAACAGTTGTTAAATAGTGTACATATTGATATAAAAAAAAATCTTAAAGTCTTTCATTCCAGGTAAGGAAAAATAAGCACCATCAAAGTTAAAAATTAAGAGTTTGTAAGTTTGCCATAGATAACTTACTAGTATATCATCTATCAAAATTTTAATTATCACCTATGAAACACAAAAGAAATAAGACACATATAATCGATATGAATGACCTTGTTTTAATACCTACTAGTACGAGGGGTGTTTAAAAAGTTCGAACTATCTCTATATCTACAAAACCACAATTCAGATCAGAAACATAGCCAAACACAAGTTCTATAAATAGCATATGCTGAAGTTTTGTTCCTTGTTTGTGATGTCACAATCTGAAAATGACGTCATGCAGGTACTTGTGACGAAAATTCTATTTGCCCATATTGTCAAAATTAAAATTTTACAAAGAAAAAAATCAACATAATTAGATATTTTATACCATCTTTAAAATGACGTTTGGTGGTCAGGGAAAAATTATGCCGTATTTATAGGTGAGAAAGAAATTCCTTAAAATTCAAACATAATTGTTGATGGAAGAAAAAGAAAAAATATCATTTAATGGGATGTAAAAAAAAAAAAAAAGAGTCGGGCCATTTGGACCAGGCAGTAATCGGGAGAGAGGGCAACCAAATATTTTATAACAAGTGGTCTTATAAGGCTAGTACATATTCCATCACGTACTTAGTAATGCAAAATTTTTTAATCTTTTGCACTATTTTGAAAAACAAACATAGGATTTCCTGGGGGGGGGGGGCTCTCACTTTTTTTGCGATGATAGACATAGCATATGCAATGGACCTTTCTTTGCAAACATTGTACTCGCTTCTAAATTTCAAAGAAACAACTTAATATATTTTATCAAGCTTCGTATGTTCAATGAGCGAGAGCTTACAACGTTGTCAACATAATGAGACATGATGCGTTTTTATGTTCAAACATTACTCCATACAATGTGTTGGTCATTGCAAACAATCTAGCTATTTATGTGAGGTGCCTGAAGGAAATCCTATAACTGCCTATTTTTTCTATCTAACTTCTAAACAAAATATACATATGTACCAATTTTCGAATGTAAGACATGTAATTACAATTTGTTTTTCATGCACCGCATATTGTTTAACATTTTCAAATTAAATGCTAAGCATCCTCCTTGCAGTGCCCCATTTGAAAATAACTTCTATCGCCACAGAAAAAAGACCCGCCGTAAACACATATGTTTAGGACATTTATCTCTTTTTTTCTTGAGTTTTAAAGAAACCAACAAATTATCAAGACTTGTTCCATGAAAAATTAAATATAATCATGGTAATAAACGGATCTATCCACAGCAGATATATGCACATGCCAACCACGTGCTCAGTGGAATAATTTTATCGAGGAAACTCGAACTGTAAACAGAACAGTTTTTCCCGATTTGCTGGAGTGGGGTTAAAATCGCGTTTTTTCATTAAACAGATGATGTGATGCAACAAATAAAAGTAGTAAGTAATATAACCTATTGATTATTACTTAGTAATTTCTTGTCTTGATGTTATTATGGTCGCATTTATTATAAAATCAATTTCTGTGTGACAGAGGAATGGCGGACGAAATAAACACATTGCCTCAGGAAGACACCCATATGAAAAATCAAATTTTAAGAATTATGGATAATGACAAGAAAAAAGCGAAACAAATGGTTGTAGCCATATTATCAGAAATCAAACTTACATCATTTTCAAGGCATTTATCATTTTATAACCAGTTCTAACATGATTAATTTCCTCCTAATTAAAACAAAATAAACTTAATTGTTTACTAATTTTGGTCTCTAACAGTAGGTAATTAATGCATTAGCACTTTGAGTAACTTTGGGCTAGTTTAGTGGAGTATTAAGCGCATTCTTATTTCTTATTTTACACCAGACTAGATCCAATATGGCTTGTACATCCCCCTTAAGACTGATTAAAAAAAAACAACTATATTTTAAGGTTAATCTCATAATGACTACTGGTACATTTAAAAGTTAGATTGGTTTGGGGGATAAATATGTGAACTTTGTGTAATTGCAAAACACTCTTCAAGGTTAACTACTTCAGATGCTCTCTTTTTTTTTTTAAGATAGAAAGAAAGGTATAAAAGGGAAAAACAAGCAACCTTGATTTAAAAATGTACTTCATAGTTTATATAGTAGGATGTAACCGGAACATGAACTGTACATATATATACAAATCAGTTCTGGACAGCATAGCCATTCTTGTTTTTGCTTACTAGACACAGCCGTGGTGAAGTGGAAAACAACAGCTTGACATAAAACAAAAAATATATATAAAACCAACAACACATACATGTATGCTGTTATCATATCACTGTATCCTTAGTGGATTTAATTTCTCATGATGTATAGCAATGATATTTTTTTATTTTCCATTCCCTACTTGTCCAATGTGTATACAGTACCTATGAATTTGTATTATAATTGTATTCTGAACATAGCCTCATTACAGTAGCTTTGAAATTCTTTCCCACATTTAGAGAATTTGCTAATTCAAATCAATGATAAAACAGTCAAAACTTGAACGTAAGTAAATTCTAGCGTATTTATTTTTGTTTACCTATTTTCTTCTGCCTCTCGGGAAAAGTCCTCATGAACTAAACAGGTATGGTAAATACACTTAGAGATCAGCTGATAAGTTATATTAGTTTCATGTTGTCATATACCAGTAGTTGTCAAATTTTTACATCCTGAAGTATATACATGTATCCAATTTTTGAATCTGGAAACCTTGTCAAATTTTAGTGATCAGAATAGGAAGTTTATGCCATTTATTCCACAAAAAATAATAATTGTAAATCTACTCAAAGTGTCAACACTTTAACTTTATATTTCCTAAATGTTGTTGCTTTGATGAGTCACATTACTGCTTTTCTCATGTTGGATTTTAAAATTTTTAAAGTATTAATGTATTTGAAATTAATGTTTAGTGATAAGTTGCACAACACATTTTAATGAAAACATTTATAGTTTTCTGCATTGAATTTCACATGTAATTCAATTAGGTGCATTAAATTTTTTTTACAATAATTATTCTGCTTTGCAACAAGAAATGAGGGGAAGCTATTATCATTGCAAGGAAGTGATTGGTGGTGGTAAGCTGTCAGCACAAGGAGATAAGAAGGCATTACAGAGAAAGCATCATAACTAGAACTGAAGCAAATGCTCTAGAAATTTTATTTGCTTTCATGCAGTCAGTTTACAAGTTCTTGATTTTGAGTAGCTTATTTGTCCATTGATCAAGTTCAATGTGCATTCAAACAAAGTTCATGTGTTGGAGGTTCATTTGTATGGTGTTTTATCATGTGTATCAGTGTTTTAACAATTTTTTTGATGAATTTGTGGAAGAAAAAGAAAATCATTTTCTTGAGAAGTTTTCTACACATATTTTAGAAGCCAGAGACTGCATGCATTTAATGTTTCATTTACATTGCTGAAGAAGATATAATGTAAATTTCAGGATAAGCCAGGAATCGATAGACAGTACATTTGCACTCAAAAGTGATGAAAACCCCAACAAGAACTTAGAGTACACGGATATTGATGATGATTCAATTTTTGCTGATTTCAAAATGCCAGATATATCAGTGAGTTCATAAAGACTTAAAAGAAAATAAATGCCTGATTAAAAGATCATTCTGAAATTGAAGAAAAAAGTCAAAGTTGAGTTCCTTGATGCACAAAGTTCATTATTGATATCCTATTATGCTGATTTTCACAAGAATACTTTTCAATATGAATTTAAATGTCTTGACATACATATTCAAATGTATAATGTAGACACTTACCATTTCTGATTAATATATCACTATATTTATTTTGTAGAGTTCATTTGACTTTGGACCTTCATTCATGGATGAAGTTCTAAAAGCCTTGAATGAAAAAGAGGCCAAGTTGGAATCCCCAGATAAAGAGACGACCCCTCTACAGGGGAGTCCCAGGCCTGAGTGGGAGGACACGCGGGAGAAGAAACAATCCCCGCCCCCTCTACCTACAATGCCCCCCAGGATGGTAGGAACAAGCTTCAGTAGTTCCATCACAGTGATATAAGAAGTTGCTCTTGTACTGCTAACAGAGTTCTATGACATATCACCTAATAACACTGCAGTATGTATTCAGTTGCTACTTTTATAATCAGATGTAATGCAAACAACTGCACATTTTAGTGACTGGAGGTGTTGGGGTTCTTAATTTTTTGATTGTTAATTTTGCAAAATTAACCTTTGGGACACTAGATTTTGTACTGCTGCAGGAAAAAAGATGAGACATTTTCTGTTAGTTTGCCTAACAAGAGCAGTTTCAGATCACAAGATGGAATTTTTAAATATCCAGATAATTATATGTACTTGTCTACAAAGCATCTAAAATACTGACAAATGGTCAGTTCAAATTTGAAACCTTCTTTCTTAAGTTATCACTTTTAAAACTTTCGCATGAGCTTTTTATAAATGATTTCTATAAGTCAATATTTTAAGACTGTCAAACTTTTATCTGAAATATTCAAATTTCTAAGCATGATTAAATGAATGATAATTTTTAAAAATTCTATCATGTATATTCTGGAATGATTTTACATGTAAACGTTCTCTCTGCATACTGCTTTTCCATTTCTTCAAAGGACACAAAACGTGAGACCCCTAAGCCTGAGCCCCGGAAACAAGCTAAGGTCAAACCAATGTCATCTGCGGATGAAAAACGAATGGAAAGTGCAATAGCAATGGCTAATGAATTCGCTGCACACAGCACCAAATGTCACATGATCGATGCACAAAGCCCTCCCACTTCTCCTATCAGTGACAAAAACATTTTCGACTCTGAAAGTTCTGAATCTCCTAAACTTATGAAGAAATTAAAGAACTCCATTAAAAGGAGTCCAAAAGTAGAAAGAAAAAGAACATTTTCTGAGGAAATGTCTAATAAAACTGACTTAGAAGAGGATGTTCCTCCAGAAGCCCAAGAAGCTTATAATATGTTAGTGGTAAGAGGTTCCATGAAAGACACTTCAAAGTCTGAGGAGCGATCACAGGACAGAGAATTTCGAAATGATAGGGGAAGTGAATGTGAGGGCCGGTTGACACAGGATAGCTATGGGTTACAAAGGTCAAGTCCAACCAGACAGGACAGTTACCCTTCCAGTACCTCACAACAGGAAAGCTGGAGGTCCCATCCTGATCCTGTCTCCAGACAAGACAGCTGGAATAACAGAGAAAGTCCAGCTCGCCAAGACAGCTGGAGCATGAAGAGAGAAAGTCCAGCTAGACAGGACAGCTGGAGTGTAAAAAGAGATAGTCCAGCCAGACAGGATAGTTGGAGAAACAGGTCTGAGAAGACTTCAGTACCCCTGGCTAATACTGCAGAGGTGTTCTTAGACTCTCAGCTGGAAGAACCAGTCCGACCAATCCCTAAACCCAGGAGTGACAGGTCCGAAATTCCTGTTCCTGCTCCCAAACCTAGAGCAGAAATTATCCAGAGGGTGGAACCCGTTCAGCGTCCTCAGAGACCTCCACCCTCTATTCCAAAGTCCATGGACTATGACCTTAAAGTGGACTTACCTGCTGAAAAAGTTAATGGTGTAAACAACAGATTTAGCACAACTAGTGACCATAACTCCACAGCAAGTTCCGAAAATGATGACACTAAAAACCAGATAGAGGTGTTAAGAATTGATTTACCTGATTCTAGTGAAGTGAGAAAAGATAATATCTCAGACACATCCTCTAAAGACTCACAACAAGAGGAAACAACAAAACCTGAGCCAACTCATAAAGATTCATTTAAAAACGATTTGTTATGGAGTGAAGATTTCAGTGAACCATCACCTCGAGAAATCATGTCAAAACTGGCCAGAGAGAGCAGAATACGCAGATCCCTTGATCACCAGAGAGGGGCCTTGGGAGATGGGCTTGACTCTGGTCCATCAAGAAATATTCGAGAACCACAAGGAATACCAGGCAAAGGAATAGGTGCACCAACCAATGAGGATGAGGAGGTGGATACTAACCCCTTACGAATGTTAAGAGGTGGTGCAATCCCAACAGTCCGCGGAGGGCGGGTTGGACAAGGTACGGTTTCTAATGTTTCTTCTGTTCCTCCTAAATTACGTGTAAAACTCCCCGCCCTGCACCATTCGCTCAGTGTTGACTCTGGGACTAATCGTGTTGAGCATGTGAATGAGGGTGACAATTCCAGTTGTGGAAATGATAATAACCTTAACAAACGGTCCTTAAACAAACCCCCTGCTGTTCCACCTAGATCCTACAGCATCAGTGATGCTAATTGTCATAGGAACCCTGTTCCATTGCCTCCACGAAAGCCAATTAGAAAATCAACGATAAACGCACCACCTCGGGAACGAAAGTACCCTCTGTTGCCTAACGATGACCCAGGTCACACTACTAGCTGTTCGTCGAATGTTGCATGGTCGTCCACCCAAAATACCCAGACCAAGCATGACTGTGATGTAGATTCCTCCGCTCCCCCACCACTATTACCCAGATCTAAAAGTATTAACGCGGACAAAAACAATAGCGAGGAGGATGAAGACGACGACAGTGTATTCATCACTGACGACGACGCCCCTCAGACAAATTTCATAAATCATTCTAATTCATTTCATAATAAATCCACTCATCCTCCTCCATTAGGACACGTGAAAGGTCCAACTTCATTAGATTTAGATAAATATTCAGACAATAAATTACAAAACGGTTCAAGTATGACCAACAAAGCAGCCACTTTTCCTAGAGGCAAATTTCGACTCCAAAACGTAAATTGTAATTTAGAGCAGTTAGGCTTTTATAACCGTCCTGATCCTTTCTGGGATAAGTCTCTTGTGGTGGCAGGTCGTAATTATTCTGACCCTCTGGGGAGCTCTGAGGAAGTCTCGCCACTAATGCTTGCAAACTACAAAACGAGTGACGGTGTTAGTTACGAAGACTTGCTTGATTTTGCATTAGATAGGTATGGCATTTTTTATGTCTCTTCCTTTGTATTATATTCATCTAAACACCTCACTATATATCTGTTTGGACTGTATATATACCATATCTTTGCCACTGCTCTACTTGTAACACACTGCCCATGGATGCAGGTTTGGTTTGTAAATTATGCTTGAAAGGAAGAGAGCATTTTATAATCCAAATCTGGTCATAGCCATCTTCATCGGAGACCATGCACAGGGAATTTCTTTTGAATCAGATAGTTAACACATATTCATTGATAGTAAAATTTTGAGAAAAAGTAACATGCGATTTTTCTGATCAACATAGAAATGTGTGCCCCTTAATGGAGTGTACTTAATTTGAGAAAGTCTCATCTTTTTTTTTTTAATTTAAAATTCCATTTTGGTTTGGTTTTTGTGATTAACAGGAAAGAATCTAAACTCGGCATCCTAAATTGACAAAATGCATGCAAAAATCATTAGAAATTACCCAGAATGCTCTGCCTGTAATCAATATTTCTCCTTGTGTTTTGTTTCAGTATTTTATTTGGATCTTTAAGTGTGGCCGTTATGCTTTCATCCTAAGGTAGAGCTTTCGTCTCAGTAGTAATTTGTGTTTCCTTCATTAATAATGATTACCTTTAACATTTAGTGTCTGATAACTCTGTAGTGTTCTGTAACATATGTTTTGTGGTAGCAGGGACACTTTTTGGTGACTTTAAAGTTTTTGCATGAGATTTTATTTGCCAGGGTACATGTACATGCTTGTAGTCTGTTGAGAGAGGACAATGCCATTCATATCTAAATGTAGCCTCATTTTAGTAACTGGGCACATACAAATAAATTGAATTTTAAGGGTGCTTCATCACAAAGAAATTATATATAAGTTTGAAAATTGCTGTAATGCATGAATTTTGGACACATTAACAAAGCAAGCAAGGATTTCAGTGCCTAACAGCATGTCCAAAGAATAAAAAAATTTAAAAGGGTGGGCAGTATTTTCATATAGACATTGTTCATTGAATGGGCAGTGGGGGTAAGTAATATTTTCCTTCATGTGAACCTTTGAAATCAGTTTTTTAAATAAAGACTCTTTGAGAAAATGTCACTTATATTAAAATGTTTGAATATTTCTGTGCAGGGAGAAGAACAGCCCGGAGATAGAGACATTGCTTAAAGTATTCTGTAATGAAGTGAGTGGTTTAAGAATTTGTCATGACCTAATGTAGCCAACTTTTATTTGCATGCAAGAAAAATCTGGGAGTTCCATGACATTTTATCATGTTTCTCCATATAAATGAGTAATTTAATTGTACACATGTATTCAATATGTAAAATCTCCACAGTCATGAACTGTGGATGGATTTCAATGTATAAATTGTGAAGAAAAGTTGTTGAAGTTAATAGTTTCAAACTGCCATATAGCTAATCTTGAGGAAATAACCTATTCTCAGGGTTTCTCAGTCAATCATTAACATGAAAAGCTTAATGCCTAATCATTAACATGAAAAGCTTAATGCCTATTCAAGAATAACAGATTTTATTCCAATTCAATTATATTTGAAACGAGTTCAGCTTGGATGACAGGTGCCCCTTATACCAAAGCCTACCTTATCAGTTCTTTATTTACAGGTGAGTGTCCAGGACTGTACAGCAGCCCTTAAGGATACAGGGTGGGACCTTCTTATGGCCATCAAATACATCAAGCTCAAACAATTGCTGAGCCTAGACCTGGGGGACATTAACCATTGTAAGGAAGCCCTGATATCATGTGACTGGGATGTACCCAGAGCAGTGGACTATGTTTTCTCCCAGGGCCCACCCAGTCCCGAGTGTGTGGACGTATAGGACAATACTCACAAACTCGACAAGGGCTCTCACCAGCCTGATCTCCTGAGTACACTCACTCAACACATTGTTACAGAGTATCATCTGTGTAAATTAATACTCATTGATCTAATGTGATGTGTATACTTCCATTTTTACATCTACATTGAGAATTAACCACACGTGTACCTGCTGATAGATTTTGAGGCATTTTCTGCAGCTGTCCACTGCTTAACTTGGTTGTGTGCTTTATATTCTGAAACATTATTTATTATTTACACATTAACACAATTTTATGGTGAAAAAAAGAATGTTGCATTTCATCCATCTTTTGCCATTTATAATGACATGCATGTTTTTGTAGAATTTTTTTGTGAGAGGTAAAGGAATCACTGCTTGCCTTTTCATTTATGTACTTCCTAAACATCAGAAAGAATCTGTGTGAAACCGGTATGAGATGCTCAATATTGAGTTAAGTTGCTAAAAGTCGCAAAATGTTCATTTTTAACCATTGGTTTTTGTCATCATGCAATTTTTTCTTGAAATTTTCTGCTGCTGAAAAAAAAACAACTCAGCAATCAGTCATTCTTTACATAACTTGCCAGTATGATTAACTGTTGATTGTATAAGTATAATATTGTTTTATTTGTATTTATTCTGTATAATTATACCATTGTTAATAGAAGTAGCATAATAAACCAGATAGATTTATTACTTGGATACTACTTACTATCATGTTATTTACAGTATTATCACTATCAAATATATACCACAATGGTAACAATAACTATCAGTATGTGTCAAAAAATATGTTAAATATTGGATTTGAAAAAAATCTGACCCTTGGCCAATGTGTTAGTGCTCTATTAGAAAAAAATATATTGCTAAATTGTACATGTATATAATATGTGTATAGTATGTATAATTTTATGTAAAGTTTATGCTAATATGTGCAATATCTTGAGCTAGTTCATTCATTTGATGTAACTTTGTGCTTTGTCTATATTGAGTTGGTGCCTATTCGCAGTATGCAATCATTGTCTTGTCGTGCCATATAGGTTCAATATCATGTACTTCCCCATTCACGTGTTTCATTTCCTTGTTCAGAAATTGTGTTAGCTCTTAGTAACTTGTCAACTGAAGGAATAATAAATATGAAAATTGTTTATAATGATAGAAGTGTTGACTCTTGATCAGTTCTGGAAATGTCTTGAGCGATATGTTGGAATGGTTATTTTTAGTCTAAGAAGAGATGATTTATGGTTATATCATTCATCAAAAGAAGAACAATGCTGATTCAGCTGTTTCTAATACACTGTGTGTGCAAAAGCTCAAAATGTACTGGGGTACATGGGGAAGAGACAACAAACTATTGAGAATTTAACTGTGGCTTACCCTGTCCAAGTCCTCATGACCTAAGAATGCTTCAGTGTAGCAACATGATTAACATGGTGTTCTAGAAAAAAAACAAGATGGGTTTGTAAAACACTGATGCCCCCGTATGGATGCTTATGGCAAGTATCAAATGCAAGATAAACTCCAAGGTCAAGGTCAAAAGATAAAAATTGTTAGTATCCAAAGAAAGGGCTTGTCACAAGGAATACACCTGTGAAATATGAAAACCCTTGTACTAACCATTTCAAATGGTATGGTCAAGGTTAAAGCTTTTTTAAAAACATAAAAACTCCAAGTTCAAAATTGTTGGTGTCCAAAGAAAGGTCTTAAAAGAAGGAAAAACTCCCAAGGTCAAAATTGTTGTTATCCAAAGGAAGGTCTTGTCGAATACACCTGTGAAATATAAAAGCTCTTGTACTAACCATTCAAAAGTTATGATATCAAGGATAAAGTTTTTTAAAAGTCAGAAGACATCTCTGTATGAGTGAAGAATTCTAGAATTAAACAATATACGATCAATCATTAAAAGTGGGAAAAACTCCAAGGTAAAAATTGTTGGTATCCAAAGGAATTATGTCTTGTCACAGGGAATACACCTGTGAAATGTGAAATGCTCTAGAATTAACGGTTCAAAAGTTATGGCCAAGATTAATTTAAAAAAAAAATGGGCCAAACTCTAAGGTCAAGGTTAAATATTTTTCGACCCTTTGATGGGTCTTGTCACAGTGGAAACACATGTGAAGTATGAAAGCCGTTGCCCCATCTAGTCAAAAGTCATGGTCATGGTTAATTTTGTTGGTAAAAGTGGGTCAAACTCCAAGGTCACAAGGTCAATTTGGTGGTGCCAAAGGAAAATTCTTGTCACAAGAAATAAACCTTGAAAGCCATAGCCCCACCCCCTCAAATATTATGGACAAGGCTCAAGTTTTTGCGGACAAATAGATGATATGTCAACGCGAAACAGACAGACAGACGGACAGGGCAAAAAATATATATCCCCAAATATTCGATTACGGTGGCATAAAAAAAATAATCATCACATTGGTTTTTACTTACTAGTACTATTTTTATGGGAAACTTTGATCCCTTTAATTATAGTGGCCCCACCTTAGATTTGAACACATTTGGATTTTGTACTGTACTACATGATGTTTGTTGCATAATATGTATTCAATAAACTGTATGACAATTATGTTTCTAAAAGGTTACTGGTAGATCAAAATGTAATTCTGACTGAATCCCCCCCCCCAAAAAAAAAGCAGCAATGACAATTTTTTTGAAAATTAGTTTAAATTTCAAGGTCACTGGGTCAAAAATCATACTTTTTCAGAAGTCATGCACTTGTCAGATATAAATCTATCTTCTTTTTATTTGAAAGTTATAATCAATGTTATAATTTTTTGACAGTAGATTTTTCAAGGTCATTGTCATGGGGTCAAATTCATAGTATGTTTGGAAAGCTCTTGTCACAGGTTGTGTACGTGTACTTGTGAAATATGAAGCCTTCTCTCTCATTCAACTTTATGATCAAGATTCAGTTTTAGTAATAAACAGACTCACAAACAGACGCACAAATAAGTTTAAGGGAAGTTAAATCCAACATTCAAAAGTCTTAAAAATATTTAGTCAAGTAAATGTGTTGATATATACACTGAGAGCTTCTGAAATTCCTTGTCATAGGTAATGCACTTGGCAAATATAAATGTGATTCTTTTCTCATTCAACAATTATCATCTGCGTTAATGTTTTTGAAAATAAGGAAAACTTTAAGGTCCAGGAGTCAATTTATAGTCAGAATTTTGGGAATCGTCTAGTGGAAAGCAATCCACATATCAAACTTCTTTCATTGCAGAAATGCACTTGTCATATATGAATACCATATCTTCTCTCTTTAAAAACTTGAAAACAATATTAAAAAAAAAAAATTAAGTTCAAACTTCAAGGTCACAAGTCAAATATCTTGGTACATTTTGAAAAATTTTGCTGGAGGTAATATGCGCATATCAAATGCAAAATACCTTATCTCCTTTCATTCAAAGGTTATTGCCAATGTTAAAGTTTCTGAAAATTCAAGCTTCAAGGTCAATATCACGGGGTCAAATTTATAACACACTGTACCTTTAATTAAAAAGGTTTTTTTTCATAGATATATAATGCACGCGTCAAATACGAACACCAATCTTCTCTCATTCAAAAGTTTTCTATATATTACGTTTGAATATTCGGTGAAAGTGGCGAAAATAATGAAAGTCAAAAATGAGAAATCCTAATAAACGAAAATGAAAGGCGCTCGCCGACTGCAAGTAAAGATTTCCATGTTTAACAAAGCTTATTGATGGTAGATATCAGAGAATGCTCACCAAGATTAAATTATCAAACCACCAATTAATAATGAAACTGGTAGATATAGTAAAACATCAAGATCTCAAAGAACACTCTGCTCTTCTAATGTTAATGAGGATGAATTTTATTTTATATTAAGGAGGATCTCTACACCTGTAAAGTATAACTGATTTTTGTTGCATGCATTTGTTTCTAATAATAGGCCCCAAATCCGATAAAATAAGGTTCCAAAGTATTTCAATTTATTTTTTAGAAATATTTGAAATATTTTATTTATTTTGTTAAACTCCCTCATATCAATTTTTTTAAATGCCCATTGCTTTAAATTTCTCTTTAAAGTTTAGTGTTATAAAATATTGAAATAATAACCAACAAAGTTAAAAATAAAATCAACATAATTTTTATTTAAATTTACAAAAAATAGACAAAAGAAAAACTAAAATAGCATTTTCTTGAGAATAGCTGGTTGGATCCTCTTCAATATCTGAAAAGATATATAATATCAAAGGGTAAAAACAATGAAAAAAAGAAATTGAAAAAAATTGAAAAACTGTCAAAAACTTTATAAACATCACAAAAATTCAGGTGTGAGAGATCCGCTTTAAGATGCATTATCGTTACCTCGAGTTTTCTTTGCGTACGAAAATTGCAGTGGCAGAAGTAAATTGTGAAAGATATTCAGCATTAAATTTTCTAAAGCCTTTGCAAGGAAGGAGTATTAAAAGTGCTTTGAATAACGATTCGTTAAGTATAGTTAACGATTCGTTAAGTATAGTTTTCATCTGTAAAACTATATTTAACGGTCGTTAACTATAGTTTACGAATGATAATCTAAGTTTATCTGTCTGTAATAAACGTTAACAATAGATTTTGTTGATAAACGTAGATTCACATTTGTAAACTATAGTTTAGAAAATAGAAAACTCGAAAAAACTCGAAAAATAGAAAATAGAAAACTCGAGGTAAACTATAGTTAAGAGTTGTTAATCATAGTTTCACAAATCGTGAAACTATATCTATCAGATCGTTAACTATAGCTAACGGTTTGTAAACTATAGTTTACAAATCGTGAAACTGTATTTATCAGATAATCTATGTTTTGCAATCGCAAATGATAGTTTTCGGTGTTAAGTATAGTTCACGGTTGTGAAACAGATTATCGCGTTAACTATAGTTTACAGATGTAAAATATAGATTAACGTTGTTAACTATAGTTTACAGTCCGTAAACTATAGTTTACAGTCGATAAACCTAGTTTATCAATTGTGAAACTAGGTTTATCTCATTTTTGTGAATTTGGCGTGCCATATATATGTTTTGCAATTGCAAATGATTGTTTTCGGTGTTAAGTATAGTTTACGCTTGTGATACATAGATTATCGCGTTAACTATGGTTTACAGATGTAAAATATAGATTAACGTTGTTAACTATAGTTTACAGTCCGTAAACTATAGTTTACAACCGATAAACCTATTTTATCGATTGTGAAACTATGATTAACTCATTTTTCACCCATTCTCAATATAAGGGCACAAATGCCTCTCTGATTTTTTAAAAAATGAAGTTCAAGATAACAATTTTTCTATCAATTACCTTTGAAAGAAAGTATCTGAAGATTTTGTTTCCAGATTTTTTTCATCAAATTATAATACATGAAATAATGACAATACGATAAAGTAGAGGGTAATTTTATTCAGAAATGTAGCTTGAAATGTACGTTACTCTTTCTTCAATGTCCAAAAATATATGTAAAAAAAAATGTAGTCATTAAAATCACAATTGGAATATCTCATCTTAACACCAGCACATCCTACCAACTCTGTCAGCAACATATTTTCTCGGCATACGAACGTGCGTTTGATTTTTCCTTTCAAAAAACAAAGGTTACTTTTAGATCCAGATGTGTAAAAACATTTTTTGAATATATGCTTTAAATTCTTCTCTCTGTTTTGTTCAGAGCGATCAGTTTGGAATCTTGTCATTTTTAATAGATACTGGAACCTAACATGTACATGTAGTAAAATTCTATTTTGTAGTTACTGTCTTTTTTAACATATATCCATGCCGATTTAGAAAACTATGTAAATGTAACGTACATTTCAAGATATATTTCTGTTTAATACAAAGCTTAAAATTCATCTAAAATTCATCTAATAATTCATCGTTTTGTTTCAGTTTATTCCAAAAAAGATTCTCTATGTAATCACATTGTGTTATCCTCGAAGGATGGAAGAAAGTATTTATATATAATATTTTTACAAGGGAATGAAACTTTTTAAAATAATTTGTATTAACCTGAAACTGTGATTATGTATATATATGTCAAATTATTTTATTCAGGCTAGGAAAATTATGTAATCCTCAATTTTATTTTTTATTTTTGTCTATGCTGTCTTAGTCAATTAAATTATAATCAACTTGTACCATCTTAGGACCCCATTGGAAATAAGCATGTTTTATATATTGCTTTCATGGGTTATCCTAGGCAAAGATTGATTAAAAAGATGTTTATTTGTGTTGTATGTGTTAAGATCTGGTTCTGAGATCTGTATAATCCTGTGATATTGATAACTGTGATTATACCTGGAGTGATATTGTTTTAATGTGATAGCTACATGTATATGCGCTAGAACTTTTAAGCGATCCCTAATTAATTTTGGAATGTAATTTGTGTTATGATTTGTAATGAATTTGACTCTTTGCCTGAATAAACATAATAATAATAATAATAATCCTATGTAAATGTAACGTACATTTCAAGATATATTTCTGTTTAATACAAAGCTTAAAATTCATCTAAAATTCATCTAATAATTCATCGTTTTGTTTCAGTTTATTCCAAAAAAGATTCTCTATGTAATCACATTGTGTTATATGTCACAATCACCACTATAAAGACACGTTTGCCTCAGAATATGAGTAGGTAACGTACATTTCAAGCTTGTAATAATATGTATATTAGTAATAAGAAAATATTGAAAAAAAAAGCAATTATTGACATAAAAATCATATCAATGAAGAGTTTTAACGCAGTAATATAAGAAATCATAATGTAACAAACGAGGTTATTGTCATCAACTACATGAATGTCACGTCACTTCGGTAACGTTCATTTCACATATTATTGGGGAGTCCCCTCCACCTCATTTCATAACCATTCTTTTGTGCTGTTTCGCTGAAATTGACACCGGTCGTAGCCTAGTTACTTCTAACTGTGTGCAAGGTTACAGACAAAAAAATATAAGAGTCAGATGTATTTTGCTATGATCTAACAAATGCTCGTGTTTGGCCATTGAAACTTAACATAAATCTATTCCGAATATATCCATTGACAGTCTTGTTAACAATTTCATTTAGTATGTTGCAACATCGTTTTTCAAAACACAAACATACGTGCTTTTCAGCAGATCTGGAAAAATATAACCCAAAATGCAATGATTCAAACAAAACTGAATATTCAGTATTTGAAATGTAAGTGACCGTCTTGTGTTTTGGGTTTATTTGTTTTGTTTCTTTTTCTTTTTTCTTTTTGACAGGGGATTTTTTTTTTTTTTTTTTTTTTTTTTTTTTTTTTACCAATTATAAGCCTATGCATACCTTGTTTTAAATTATCAACAACAATTCAATTAATATTGACGAAAAGTCGCACATGAAAAGTAAACAAACTGCAAAAAGGTTGCCAAAGATGAATTTAAGACACTTAGAAATAAATTTTCTAGCATGTGGTAACAGTTTAAAACATTTACGAGGATTGGGGTGCATTTAGATGTGGCCAGTTGTCAAATGGATTGTAACGATAATTTTGTTTCGCTCGTGTAAACGCAATTCATTGACTAAATTAAAAAAAATGTCAGTTAGAAATACATAAAATGTACGTTACCATACGTAACGTACATTTCAAATATAAAAATCAATTCTCTTCCACAAGCATACGTTAGACGCGCAATATATAGATACTATTTTAACCTGCATATCATAAGAAATGCATCATACAGGTTTCGTATTCAGAAATATATACCAGGTATCAGAATTATATAACATAATAATTGACCTTAATATATTTTTTTCCTCAGCAGAGACGTTTCTTTTCATTAATTTTGGGAACTAGCCGACCTCCAACCTTTGAAACTTTCCTTTGTGTACACATTCGAGTGTGTGAAAGTATTAGAATACATGAAAATTCGTGCGAGATTCACTTAATTCGAATTTCATGGTAACGTACATTTCAGTCACGTACATTTCAAATGATCGCTTTTCATGTAAAAAATAATTTTTAATTGTGTTAAGCAAAACGTCTTTGCCAGTTTAGAGGATACAAGGGGTTGCTTATTCAGAGTCGTCTCATGTTTTCTACTTAATATGTATTCTTAATGGAAGAATATAGGTAACGTACATTTCTTTCTTATCTCTACGATTGAAAATGTCTTTCATTCCGTAAACATATTTATAAAAGTTGCTCAAGTTGTTCAATTTCATGTTACATTATCTAAGTAGGAGTAATTAATCCTTTGAAATTTCAAATTTAGCCCATCAATAAATAAAGGAGAACAAAACTATCAGGTGTATAATCTTTGTGTTTGCTTGTAATGTGGTTGAAATGGAATTAAGCGACAGGGACATTGCACAATAAAAATTATTTATTATCACAAAGAAAATGTATTTATTGTTATGAAAAGAAATATATATGATACAAGGTTTAACTTATCAGAAAATTTTTACTTGAGAATCAAAACTATATATTACACAGAGGGGATTCAGAATAATATTTGCCTCGGCGACAGTAACGTACATTTCAAATAGGCTACTATATTTGAATTTGGAACTCCTGAAATACCCTTTCAGATCGATAATTATATGAATTCTTATTCATTGTTATATGACTATTTATAATGTTGATTTAAAAATTACATCAGTGGTATTTCTTTTAAATGAAAATGAGGCGACATCATTTGAGCCCTTATATTGAGAATGGGTGTTTTGTGAATTTGGCGTGCCATACCTTGGGGTATGGAACACAGGAGGCAGGGGGGGGGGGGCTCTCCAAGCACCTATTGGTCAATTAAATCACAGTGCATCGCTGGTCGGTAGACGCACAACACATTTGTTTTCTGTTACTTATTCTCTTATAATTTTTAGAATAGAAATATTTTATTATCTATTTGCAAAAATCAGAGCAGTATAGACTCATTGATTCCAGATGGAGAAAATAAATTGTATTGAGGAAAATTGAAGAAGATGGTATAATTTATGTTCGGGTGAGTGAAACGAAGGAGAACATAATGATATTTCTGTTGCCTAGTGAGATTCCATAAGCGGTGTTCGATTAGGACAGGATTTTTTTTATATCGGGCTCGTAGTCTCACACCTCAAAGGGAAATAACTCCCTTAGATGATCGTAAACACATTCAAGATGGCGACGAACACCGAGACGCAAAATACAACACTATCAGATGACGAGCAAAAAACGTTTTCAGGAGCAACTCTGCAAATTGATGGCGTTGACAACCAAACAGGACATGAGCCTGGTGTTGAATTTACAGGACCCAAGTCTAACTTTGACAGAAATCGCCCCGGAAGTGTATATGGAAGACAGAGTATCCGAAGCACGACTAGCCGCACCTCCGTCCGTCCAGGGGTGATCAAAGGCGATAATGAGGCTGACACGTTCTTCAGCTACAAGGTTTTTAGACATTGAACTTGTTTAATCAGTATTTTCTATTGTAGCAAATTTTAGCACTTGACATGTTTTGGACAGGTCTGGTAAAATCACTAGATTTAGCTACGTAGCTTAATTTACCTACATACCTGAGGTAGCTTTATTTAGCGACCAAATCAGTTTATTTCTATAAAAAAACATTTTTCTCAGGGTGTGCAGAAAATCTCATTTTGATGCAGTGATCATTTTCAACTTTGAATTAATCTGAAAACAATTTATGAAAAAATCACTCTTGAAGAAAAGTCTTTTTCTGCGCAACTGCAATTAAAGTTCTGAGAATGTTGCGGCTATATACATGATATATGACAGTTAGAACAGTTACTCCTTGAATGAACTGACAAAGAAGACCAGTTTTGGTTAACATGATAAAAGGTGGATAATTATTCGCTCATAATTCAGCAGAATGTGAAGTAATAATACTCAGCCATGCCTCAACGCACGCAAGTTAGTGGACAGTTACCCAAACAATGGAATTACATGTTTTGCTCTAGATTCTCCAAACGCAGCAATGTATCTCTGCTTTCAGGGCTCTCACACCACTTTTTGGGACTGGGGCCGGGGCCGTTCAAATTGGGAAAATTATCGTCATTTTGGGAAAAGTTGGATAACACAAATTCATTAAAAAAAATCCTCAAATTTTGCTTTTCTAGCATTTTATCATCAATGCTAACTCTGGTACAAATGATTTAGAACAGTTACAACCAAACAGGACATCACTGTTGCCCCGGAAGCTTGAATAAACAGTTAAACAGAACAAACATGGGTACATAGGCTATTTATGAAAGTACATTAGCTCTGTCGTTACTATCTTTGAGTGTTGATATTGTGGTTATATGTCTTTCTGAGTGACAGTCGATAGTCATATAGTCCCGAATTTCCTCGATCACATGGACAACTTTACTTACCAATACAGCACGAGACTGAACATGCCGAGGCGTGGGTATGTTTCTAAGTGCACCTTACTAATGTTTAAATGAAATGTCTATTTTGGAACCAAAATGCTGGTTTTTGTCGAAACTACATAACAAGATACTCTGCACTCATAGTTGTATACATTTTTGTAAAAACAATAACCTGGTTCCCCGAACCAGTTTACAAATGCATTTGGCGCGAACTAATAAAATAGTAGTACAGTTTCACTTTCATTTGCAAATGTGTTTTGTTTGGGGTTTTTTTTTTTTTGCGATTAGGTTTGATGGACTTTTATTTTTTAATTAATATTTTACTCTGGATGGAAATTGGGAAATTTACACCTTTCTTTTGGGAAAAAAGGTACCTTTTTTGCATTGGGAACAGGGCCGTTGAACGGCCCCAATTTTAGAGAATCAAGAGCCCTGGCTTTAGATTGTTTTTTTTAAAAAGCTTCCTAGTATAAATATTAATAGTCATTTAATTGCGATTTTTTGTCTCTTTTTAATAAAAAGAAAAAGTTTGAAAAGTTGCATTGAAATAGCTAAATAAAGCTACCTGAGGTAGGTAAATACGTAGGTAATTCTACGTACTAAGCTAAATCTATTGATTGTACTGGACCTGTTGGAAAATGACTTAATATTTTGACAATTGAATTTGAAAAAAAAAGATGCAGTTTACAGTCCAAATTATGTTTGACGTCAATATTTTAACAGGAAGAGAACTTTAACAAAGCACTTGAAGCATGTAAAAAGACATTGAAAGATGACATTGATGGCGAATTTGTAGGGGCTTGGCTGCTAACTCTGTAAGTTTAAGCTTTTCATAATAACAGACAATTATAAAATTAATAGAATCTGTGTCATTTTATTGTAAGGTAAAAACATAGGTGAAATTTCCTGTCAATTGATAGCAAAACCACACCACAGGATATGATTACTCATTCACAAAGTGCAACTTAAATTGCCGCTCATGCACTCTTTCTTTTGCTGAGTAAAACAGAAAAAAAAATCTGTGAGTGTGATTTTCATAAAATTTTTATGAATAATTAATATGTATTTATTGTTGTTTTCAGTATTGACCATTGGGATAACGAGAGGGAGCGTTTAATCATTCTGACCAAAAACTGTATGCTCATCTACAAATATGACTTCATTCTTCATAAGATGGAAGATTACAAAAGAGTCATGCTTCATTTAATTGACACTATTTGTGTGGGAGACTTTGTTTATCCACCCAAAAGTCTGATGCCGTAAGTTATTACAGTAATCGTGAATCTTGATGTTTCCATCTTGTATGCAATAAACATTATGTGTTTAGCAAAGCAATGACTGGTAATTATGAAATATCATTTGATAATGTTGAATAATCACATTTGTGTACGATTCAGTCAGACAGAAGAAAAGTAGACTTTTGATCTGTATTCAAACCTGTTGAAAAGAGTGAATTTCTTACAGAATGAGACAACATGGGGGGATCCAGGTTAAGTGGAGTCATGGACAGGAGCCGTCCTGGGCTCAGCTGTGGAACCCCTGGTGTGAGTCTATCCCCTGGATCAACCTCGCCCACCACCCCCTGCTCTATAACCCCAAGGAATATGAGACCACCATTTACAACGTGGATGATTTTTACGAGTCTCTGATACAATGCATCAGTAACAGCTACAAGGAGAAACGACCAAGTGAGAAAATCACAATTGTTGAGGGTCCTATATTGATTGAGAGCTACGCTAGCTTGGCCTCCATGGTGTTTAACCAGAGTGGACTTGGTTTCAACAGAGACAGGAAGGGCATTAGCTTCTGAACTTTAGAAATGTTGCTGCACAAGCTACTCAAAGTTTTTCCTCGTCAAGCATAACATTTATAGCTTTGAAATCCAGATCAATTGATATATTGGTTCAATTTCAATACATGTATATTGAAATGATTAAACTTTTTCTATAGCTTTTTCACTTGCTGTACTGCAAAAGAACTTTTGACATTTACAGTGTCTTTTTATTATCAACAAATACTGAATAATCTAAAAGATTTTCTGCCTAGAGTTGAGCTATTGTGATTTTTATAGATTAATTAACTATGAAACAAGCTGTGATTTTATATTATACTTAACAGTATACAAATTTTCCATGTGTCGGAGGAATATGGGTAATAGCAGACTAAGTTGATAAGCTGTTGTTTGGATATCATCTGTATACAGGACACAGACTATTTTCCCTGTAATATTGCTGATTCTAAAGTGCTCTTTTATTTATTTCTTCTTGTTTACTGTTCAGTTTTGTGTGCTTTTTGTATTTTTTTGCTAGTTTTGCATGTTGCAATATTAAGATATTTAAGTCAATACACATTCCAGCAATTTTCTTACTACAACAAATGTCTTTATCAGTAATAGTTTCTTGTAAGAATGAACTGAATTAATTTTAAAGTTGACTTAATTTATTTGGTTTAAGGTAAGAGGTTTTCCTATGAAATTTCATGATATGAAATGTAATTTTCATAACAAAAGCCCTTTAATGATGTTTCTTATCCATATTTTTTTTTCAACCAATTGGGTATCAGATTTATTTTGTTTGCAAAGATTTCTAAGCTGACTTAAATACACATCTATTTTATGTAATTTTTTTTTTTTTTTAATTTTATGTAGTAACTGTCCTCATATCATATATATTCCACATTTTTTGTGGAAAGTTTGAGAATTATTTCCTGCCCTTGTTGAATCCTCTTATATTCTGTTTCCAGAGGCATTTCGAAGTGCTTTGGAAGGCCTCAGGTAGCATGTGGGTCCTCTTTTCTTGTTGCTCATTATTATTTTATGTACTCTCTATTTCATATGTTATTGAATGCACTTCTCAAACACACAAGTCAATCGCAACTTCTCAGGCCTTTCAGACAAGCAGAAAAACAACCTTGAATGTATTACGTAGGTGTCAATGACAACCCCCCTTTTTGTGAATTTAGAAATAGATATGAGAAGACCTCTTATCTAGGGAGTATTAACTTCATTGAATGTAAAGATATCACGTAAAATATACCATAGAAGGGACTTTCAACTCCGTCTATCCAATACTTTAATAAATAGGAAGCAACTCCATGTTATATAAATTTATACCATATGGTGATTTAAATATATTGGAGTTTGTTTTTCGGACCTCTGAGGGAAAGACCCAAGATGATGTGATTGACACATAAGTGTGTGCTTATGTACATAAGGGTGTATTTTCATCATTGAAAATGATTGTACTCAACACATGTAACTGCTATATAATCTTTCACCCAATGAACACGAAATCTTTTCAAAATAATTTGTATTTTTGAAATTTTCAGTAATTAGGTAATCACAGCTTGATTAAATCGATTTCCTTTTGCTACTGATAAGGAGGTTGTTTGACATACTTTTTTGCCCTACTTGCTTGAGTTGTGATGTGCCATTAAGATTTTTTTTTTGCAATAAGTTAGCATAGTATTTGATAATGTATTTCTCAATTTTATTCATTGTAAAGCTTTTTTCGCAAACTTTATAAATTAGAACACTTATATGTATGCCCATTATACTGACATGTATCATATTGTCATTTACTATCATGTGTCATATTTTTGATTTAGTATGGTTTATCGTATTTTGATTTTAAGTCTCAGTGGAAATTCTGAAAAATTGAAATAGAAAATTTATGCTAAGAAGCATCAAATACGACCTTCTTTGTGGTCATGTGATTTTTTAAGTTTCAGAAGTTTCTGAAACTGGACATTCAAAGGGTGTGTTAACTTTTTCCTGCAATGAAGTGGCATTGATGCATACTTAGGAATATCACAAATTAAATTATATCTTTCCCTTCTCCATTTCTCCCTTAGATATTACAATTTTTGTGAATATAAAGCTACTTGTGATATAGTGTCTGTTCCTTTTAATTCCTTTGTTAATGTTTATTATTTCTGTGTTAATGTTTATCATTTATGTTTTTTGTTCCTTAAAAAAGAAAATTCAAGATTCACCCCTATACTTTTTTCCATTTGTGCTTAATTATTTTTGTGCTATTGATAATGTAATGTAATTCCTTCAAAAGTCTATGTGCAAATACAGTACAATTTACGCTTTGGTTTCCAGTCCACGGATATATGAAGCATCCGGATATCTGAATCACCAATTAAACAAGACAACACAGCATTTAAAAATTTCGTTCCGATGAAAAATCGTCCGGATACTGAAGCATCCGGATATCTGGCGTCCGGATATCTGAAGGTCCACTGTATATTAAAAAAACTTTATGTGATCCTTGGCACATACGTGTGTGGGGTGTCGTGTAATGAATTTATTTCAAAATCCAACAGTATGATAGCTTCAAATAATCCTCAATTTCAAGAGGAGTAGATGTGTTGCATCATTATTCTTTGTTTCGAAATTTATGATAAAAAACCCCAAACTTCTGATCAAATTAAGATTTGCAAATGAAAAATGGAAAGACAGACATTGGATTACTTATCTTAAGTATTTATAGTACAGATCCACCCTGTTTTCCTGGAAAATATTTTTTAATGCATATTCTGTCAGTATTAAAGATAAAAAAAAATTGAACTCAAGATCGACATGTCTCAACTATTTCTACAATATCTGATATGGAAAAGTGGTGTATACTTTCTTTAGCATTAAGTGTGTAAAACTAATCAGAGGGTTATAACAACTCGGAAGTGTGGTGGTCATTTGGAAAAATAATAAACTGTATAATGGTATTTTGAGTATATCTTCCTGGCCTGGTTAAAATTAGAAAGCAAATGTACATATGCTTTTGATTTCTCTCTATGAATATGTTCAACCAAAACGAAAAAAAAAAGTTTCCCTTCAAGTATTTGTGTGTGATCAAGAGTTTACCTTATAGCCTATGCACAAATCAGTATAACATATATATTGTACACATATAAGTGTGTTAGAGATATTTGCTGTCGTTTCACATATCATTATTATTTTTTTTTTTATTATGTTGGCTTTTTAAAAACAACCAAATTAATTAAAAAAATAAAATTTAATGTTCTACCATCATTACATTATCAAATTAACTTTGTTTATCACTGTCAAAATAATATCACATTTCTTTTTTGTCTTTTGAATTTGAGATATGACATTTTATGTTCATTTTAGATGAAGATGTTTGAATTAAGTTGTATTGTTATTGTTTTGTAATGAATGTGTGAGAATAGATTAAGTACTGATGTTATTGTGCTGAAGTGTTCTATTTGAAATTGTTTTTTTTTCATCTTAATTTGAAAATTTGACCAAATCTTGCCCCAGTATTGGTTTATTGGAGGAACCAACATCCTGGTCTAAATAGGCCACAGTAGTGGTTTATTGGGGACAATATCCTGGTCGAATCAGGTCCCAGTAGTGCTTTAAATGAGTCAAACATACTGCTTAATTCAAATCCCAGTAGTGAATTATTATGGTCAACATTCTGGTCTAATTAAGCCCCAGTAATGGTTTATTAGGAACAACATCCTGGTCTAATCAGGCCCCAGTAGTGGTTTATTGGGGACAACATACTGGTCTAATCAGGCCCCAGTAATGGTTTATTGGGCACAACATACTGGTCTAATCAGGCCCCAGTAGTGGTTTATTGTGACCTTTCTGGTCTAATCAGGCCTCAGTAGTGGTTTATTAGGGACCGACATACTGGTGAAACATATGGTGATAACGAATAGTATTCCTGATCAAAAGTCCATACAAACAGTACAAAATAGGAGCAGAGCAAACACAGACCTTCAAAACATCAGAGGTGGGATCATGTGCCATGGAGGAGTGAGCATCCCCTGCTGACCTCTCTATCAAACCCTAGTAGCTGTTTATTAAGCACAACATCCTGGTCTAATCAGGCCCAAGTAGTGGTTTATTGAGAACAACATACGGGTCTAATCAGGCCCCAACAGTAGTGTATTGGGGACAACATCCTGGTCCTATCAGACCCCAATTTTAGTTTATTTGGGACAACATCCTTGTCTAATCAGGCCGCAGTAGTGGTTTATTGAGAACAACATCCTGGTCTTAGTAGGCCCCAATTATGATTTATTGGGGACAACATCCTGGTCTAATAAACCCTAGTAGTGGTTTATTTGGGACAACATCCTGGTCTAATCAGGTGCCAAAAGTAGTGTATTGGGACAACATCCTTGTCATATCAGGTTCCAGTAGTGGTGTATTGGGGACAACATCCTGGTCCTATTAGGCTCCAGAAGTTGTGTATTGGGGACAACATCCTGATCTAATCAGGCCCAACTAGTAGTGCATTAGGGATAACATCCTGGTCCTATCAGGCCCCAATTTTAGTTTATTTGGGACATCCTGGTCTAATCAGGCCCCAGTAGTGGTTTATTAGGGACAACATCCTGATCTAATCAGGCCCCAGTAGTGGTTTATTGAGAACAACATACGGGTCTAATCAGGCCCCAACAGTAGTGTATTGGGGACAACATCCTGGTCCTATCAGGCCCCAATTTTAGTTTATTTGGGACAACATCCTTGTCTAATCAGGCCGCAGTAGTGGTTTATTGAGAATAACATCCTGGTCTTATTAGGCCCCAATTATGATTTATTGGGGACAACATCCTGGTCTAATTAACCCTAGTAGTGGTTTATTTGGGACAACATCCTGGTCTAATCAGGTGCCAAAAGTAGTGTATTGGGACAACATCCTTGTCATATCAGGTTCCAGTAGTGGTGTATTGGGGACAACATCCTGGTCCTATTAGGCTCCAGAAGTTGTGTATTGGGGACAACATCCTGATCTAATCAGGCCCAACTAGTAGTGTATTAGGGATAACATCCTGGTCCTATCAGGCCCCAATTTTAGTTTATTTGGGACATCCTGGTCTAATCAGGCCCCAGTAGTGGTTTATTAGAGACAACATCCTGATCTAATCAGGCCCCGGTAGTGGTTTATTGAGAACAACATACGGGTCTAATCAGGCCCCAACAGTAGTGTATTGGGGACAACATCCTGGTCCTATCAGGCCCCAATTTTAGTTTATTTGGGACAACATCCTTGTCTAATCAGGCCGCAGTAGTGGTTTATTGAGAATAACATCCTGGTCTTATTAGGCCCCAATTATGATTTATTGGATACAACATCCTGGTCTAATTAACCCTAGTAGTGGTTTATTTGGAACAACATCCTGGTCTAATCAGGTGCCAAAAGCAGTGTATTGGGACAACATCCTTGTCATATCAGGTTCCAGTAGTGGTGTATTGGGGACAACATCCTGGTCTATTAGGCTCCAGAAGTTGTGTATTGGGGACAACATCCTGATCTAATCAGGCACAAATAGTAGTGTATTAGGGATAACAGCCTGGTCCTATCAGGCCCCAATTTTAGTTTATTTGGGACAACATCCTGGTCTAATCAGGCCCCAGTAGTGGTTTATTTGAGACAACATCCTTGTCTAACCAGACCCCGGTAGTGGATTATTGGAGACAGCATTCTGGTCTTATCAGGCCCCAATAGTAGTTTATTGGCACAAAATCCTGGTCTAATTAGGCCTCAGTAGTGGTTTATTATTGGTGACAACATCCTGGTCCTATCAGGCCCCAGTAGTGGTTAATTAAGGACAACATCCTGGTCTAATCAGGCTCCAGTAGTGGTTTATCGGGCACAACATCCTGGTCTAATCAGACCCCAGTAGTGGTTTATTGGGGACAACATCCTGGTCCTATCAGGCCCCAGTAGTGGTTTATTGGGGACAACATACTGGTCTAATCAGGCCCCAGTAGCGGTTTCTTGGGGAAACATACTGGTCTAATCAGGCCCCAGCAGTGGTTTAATGGGCACAACATCCTGGTCTAATCAGGCCCCAATAGTAGTTTATCGGGACAACATCCTGGTCCTATCAGGCCTCAGTAGTGGTTCATAGGGGACCAGCATACTGATTTAATCAGGCCTCAGTAGTGGTTTATTAGCAAGAACATCCTGATCTAATCAGACCTCAGTAGTGGTTTATTAGGAACAACATCCTGGTCTTATCAGGCCCCAGTAGTGGTTTCTTGGGGATATTATATTGGTCTAATCAGACCCCAGCAATGGTCTATTAGGAACAACATATTGGTCTAATCAGGTCCCAGTAATGATTTTTAAGAACGGAATCCTGGTCTTATCAGGCCCCAGTAGTGGTTTATTGGGGACAACATCCTAGTCTAATCAGGCCACAGTAGCGGTTTATTGGACACAACATCCTGGTCTAATCAGGCCCCAACAGTAGTTTATTGGGACAACATCTTTGTCCAATGATTCCCCAGTACTAAATGGTTTATTGGGAACAACATACTGGTCTAATTAGGCCCCAGTAGTGGTTTATTAGCAACAACATCCTTGTCTAAGCAGACCTCAGTGGTGGTTTATTGGGGACAATATCTGGTCTTATCAGGCCCCAATAGTAGTTAATTGGGACAAAATCCTGGTCTTATCAGGCCTCAGTAGTGGTTTATTATTGGGGACAACATACTGGTCTAATCAGGCCCCAGTGCAGTAAAACTCGGTTATAGCGAACTCCTGGGGACCTGTGAATTTAATTCGCTATATCCGTAATTCGTTATATCCATATAACGAATTCGTATAACCATATATAGCGAATTCGCAATATGCATGTTTTCCTTCAAGTGTTACTATCAAATATGTTAGGGAAGCAAATATTACAAAACATACCTTCGATAACTAAGGTTTTATTATGAATTGAGTTTTATATACAAATGCTGAAAGAAAACAAAGTCAGTTTAATTGATCAAATTTTGAGATCTTTGAAAGTTCGTTATAAAAGATGTAAAATTCATTATATTTAACCTCAACGGGACTCAAAATCAGTTCGCTGTATCCGTAAATTCGCTATATCAGAGTTCGTTATAACCGTAGAAT